ACTTAGAGGTCTTTCAAAGTTTCTAATAGATATGTTGCATTACTAGCCAACCAGTTTCGCTTCTCTGACAAATTAGCATCTAGCCAGGTAGAAATACAGTATGTCAGGTTGACATAGGGCACACATGTGTGGTCAGGTCAGTTTTCCACAACCAGAACAACATGATCAGAATATGTGTTTACACACAAGCTGTTCAAATTTAATCGGCATAAACTACCCCCTTCATTWGGAATACAAATTAATTTTGATCGAGCTGAATCAGATCAGAATATTTTGATTGTGGTGTTTACATGATGCATTTTTATTCTGATTGTCCYTTTWTCCCAATCGATTATGTCCATATAAACAGTGTGTGAATTGTATTTTCTTATAGGAAGGTGGGTCATTCTAAGATTTTTTTCATCAAACACTCCACTATTTGTAAATTTATAATGAGTAAGACTAGCTCCAGCAGTTCATATCAATTATAAAATCTATGGGATTAAATGCCATAAACAAAGTATTCTGAAGCTGTCTAGAAACAGACTTTCCACATGCAAAAAGCAGAAGAGTATACCACAAAGCAAATTCAGCAAAGCGGGGCTTTCTTCCCTTTTCGACAAGAAATAAAACACATTAAATTCCCTTGCATTTTTCCACAATGTCTCATGCTGAAACTTACATAAGTAACATAGTGTACAGTGAAAAACCTACACAAACATTTTGTAAAGTGTTTGGTAGAACACAAACAAGATATAAAATGTAAGTGTGGGACATTTACAAAACAGCATTAAGAAACATATTCTGTTGCATTGTATTTTACAGATATCTTGCACTAATMATTCTTCCCTTTCATTTCTTAACTATCAAAATCTTTTTCATAGTTATTTTATTTGTGGTACTAGTATTATTCCATACAGGAAGAATAAAAGTTAGTACAAACAAAATAAGTATAAAAAACAAGTAAATAAAGCATGATGCATGCTTGAAACTGTTTTTAAACTAAATAAACCAATTCATTCAATAAAAGAACTCCATACAAAATGATACTAGCTGAGATTTAACAGACAACCTTATTACTCAGCAATGTACTGACAGTGCTAATCCCTGCACAGTAAAAAAAAAAATAAGGTGAGAATTCTGCTTCCTAAAATATTTTTCGTTAAAAACTACTTAATTACTACATTTTAACTACCTTTTTTAATAAAGTGCAGTGTAGAATCTAATGTGTGATTTGACAAAAAGTGCTTTTCCAACACTGACATCTAGTGGCTAAATTGTGAATCATCCAGCTTGTTGACCTTTTCCCATAATGCATTGCAGTCMTCCAGTTCTCGCGTTGTTTCCGCTGTTAACCCCGTCGTTGTTCATGAGAGAAGCACAACATGGCATCTGACGGAGCACCGGGAACTGACTCTCTCCCGTCCGATTTAGGAAGTGCTATCGCGGCMTTAAACACATGGAGCAATCCGGAGCTTCAAGCCAAGCTGGCGGAGCTGGGAGCGCCGACCATGGGTAAGAAATATGCGGAGGGACCTTTGGGAGCAAGTCTAGCTATGTGCTAACTAGCTTTAGCCATAGCAAAGCAAAGAGAGCGGCGTTAAACGGAGTAGTTTCGTTAAACCTGGGCCWGAAATGTGTTTATAATCTTATGAAAACTTTACATGTGGTTGTTTWGTTTTATTTCAGTATTAGTATGACGTAATTCAAGCTCCAGCTATGTCACTGGTCTGGCTGGTCTTTGTAATGAAACATAATTTAGCTCAGCTAATTCCTGTTGCTAATTTTAGTGTTGTTGCCCATAAAATGTATGTTTGTGCACTTTTTTGATTAGTTATTGGTACTGACATATTATGTCTTGTYTTATTTATCTGTCCTTTCCATGTTGTTTTGCCTATTACTAATCTTTTTTTTTTTTTAATCCAGGCCCAAGAGAGGAGCTCATAGAGCGGCTGAAGGGCTACATGATGCAGGTAAACACAACTTATACACTTCGTTTTCGCATTAGTTCAGTTTGATGCTTGGTGTTGCCTGGAAAATCAGCACATTTTTTTATTTTCGTTTACCTTTAGGAGTGATGTACTAATTTAGTAACTGAAATTTACCAATATTTTATCTTGTTCTTCAGACTGGCATTATCCTCAGCAAACCGAATGAGGACAAACCAATGGGTCCTCAGGTAAATTCTTTATTGGTCACATAGACACCAATCTATCTACAAGTTTTAGTGTTTTCTTTGCTCCAATACATCTGGTCCAAATATAAAGGTCTCAAGTACTTAATTTGTAGAATTTGATATTTATGTGTTTCATTCTGAATCTGCAAAACCCGTATACTTTTTAATTATTTTCCCCTCACAATCTTCTTCCTTTTCAGATTCCAGGTATGCCTCCTCTCCCCCCGATGCCCATGCCACCCATGCCCCCTGGCATCAGTATGCTCCAGCCTATGGGTATGATGCCCCCCGGCGGCCCCCCTCCACCTGTTCTACCCATGGGCATGGAGCGCACGCCTCTGCCCCCTCCCGTCCTATCGCAGGACAACCAACTGAAGATGGCTCAGCAGAGGGCAGCCATGGTTTTACACCACGAGGTACGGGTCCAAAAAAAAAAAAAGGAAAATATAAACAAACAAACAAAATCGTGTTTAAAAACACAGCATCACTAAACTAATAAAATGGAGTTTGGGGAGATCAAATCTAAATTACAGCTAAAAAACTTAAACTAGTATAAGGTCACATGAAATCCTTTTTGTTTTTTAAACCCTTTTTTAAAGCAGTGATATGAAGCACCTTGGCATATCACTATGGTGCAACAATTATGACTGTCATGARGATCACGTTAGATTAGAGGATTCTGCTGTAGAACCAAACAACACAAACTGCTGTACATTTTGATTTGATGATTTTTGTTTGTGTTTTTTCATAGGGAGACGAAAAGGACCTTCTGGAGCAACAGAAAAGGGTAAGCATTCAATTTTTACCCTTTTTTTTTTTCATTTGAAAACTAAACATAATAGTTTGGATCTTTTGAAGTAGGGATCTGTGGAAATGTTACAGTTCATATCTTAGACAGCTCTATAATAGGGTTGAGGTCATGACACGATTTCTACTTTCTAAAACAACTCCGATTTCATGGATTTATAGCAAGGAATAGCAGTAGTTTAAATGATATTATTCCTYCTGGAAGTGCCTCCAAGCTGAATTACAAGCACTACTGCTAGCTGCTGCTGTAAATGTAAATAACCCAGGCCTTTCTGTTGTTGTTCTTTCCCCTCTCGTCAGGCTGCAGTGCTGATGGAACAGGAGCGTCAGCAGGAGATGGCCAAGATCTCTGCTAGATCTATGCCCACTGTCACCGAAATAAGAGGTTTGTCTTTGATTTGATTTGATTTATTGATTRAACAGGAAAAGATTACTAAAAATCAAGCCTGACTCAGCATAATTGCTGTTTTACAGCAGGTTCCTGTTCTGCAGCACATAAAACACTCAGAATTACAGCATCACAATCACATCATTATACACCATAGACACAAAGACAAGGAAGCATACCTTTATGTTATAAATATGCATTGTTTGTTGTAACAATGCCTCTTGGCAATAAATCTTATAGTGTTGGAAAGTCCATTAAACTCCCTTTTAAATGGTGCCACATTTGTAAGGAACATGCATTTGTGGGATGAGCAGTTGATTAGAGCATYTGGGTTGTGCACATGAAAAATTTGTCCATTTGTTTTTCTGCTAAACAGCTTATTTTGCTTTTCTGATGAGCTCTACAGCCTGACTGCAACTCCTCAAACAGATGATTTAAAGAGAACTCTGAAAAGCTAACGTTTAAAATTCTTAAAAAGTCTTTAATTCTTTGTTTTGCTTATTTCTCTTTAAGTTTCGGCCTTGGATCCTCGTGGGCCGCTTCCTCCTGGCATCACTTTGTTGCCGTCCCACAAACAGAGGGCGCCACCCCCTCCAGGCGAGGACAAGGAGGTAAACAAACAGTATTTTCCCTTTTTTAAACATCATATCTACAGTTCACACAGGCAGAATTGGCAGAACTATTGTTACAGCTCATTCAAAGAGTCATGTTTTTGTCACATTTTTGTCATTTTTGCCCAAATTTGTTGTATCCAAACAGCTGAACCAAAACCTTTTTGTTCATCTTAAATTACCCTTAATAGACCAATGATTAAAAACAGATACTTTGACTAATATTTCTTCTCTTTATTAACAACTGATTTTTATCTTTGCTTCCTCGTTTTTCTTTCCAGCTCTGGCAGAACGAGGAAATGAGCATCAGTGGACCCAAGATCCCCCAGGCTCTGGAGAAGATCCTGCAGCTGAAGGAGATCAGACAGGAGCAGCTCACTGATGTAGCAGGTCGGAACAGCCACAAGCTGAAGATGAACAATAACTAAAGACAAATCTGATGTTTTATCTATATTATTAATAGCTCTTTTAAAAAATAGTGTCTAGTTCACATTGAAGGAATTCATATCACCCACCTCTTAATGCCAAAGTTTTTACTAAAAATCCTCATGTTGTGAGATAATGGTGCTTTGATCAGACCGTCCATCATTAAACAGAGGTGGAGGCCTCCGTTTTCAATTGTCCCCCTCCTACAGCGCTGCTATTGCCAGTATCACTCCACCCCCTTTTAACAATAAGTGTTAATTAGGTGTCAACGATAGCCATGTGATGTGAGTATCAGTCACARGGAGGCAGGGCTTAAAAGCCTGAATTTTGCCTGAAACTCTCAGACTGAAGAAGTCTCTTGGAGGAGAGACGAAACGTTTCATTAGAGAAGAACCCGTCCAGAAGACCTATACAATTTTTTTCTTTTTTGATCAAACCTTGTAAATAAACCTATTTGGGATTTCACTTGAGATTTGCTCAGTATGTGTCGTGACATTCAGATACAGCTGTAAAGAATAATAATCAGAGTTGCACATAAGCGGTGCGCAGGTGCGCATGCGCTGTCAAAAAAAGAAAAAGCGCACCAGATGGAATGTCATAAAGCTCACTTGCGTACCTAAGATTGTACCGGATTGTCTGTCAAAACAACAGCTAGCAGGGCTCTAGAGTGTGACCAGTTTGGTCGCAATTTGATTTCTTAAAAAATAAATAAATAAAAATCCAGCCGCAGTGGTGTGACTGGATCGTTGTTCGGGGCTCACAAAGCCTGACAGCGGGACCCTGATATAAGGATTAAACAGACACTGCCTTCAACAAATCAGACGAAGTCCAGAGCCATTTTATCCATTCAGAGCAGAGCAGGGCGGGACTTTAACTAGCTACGTTTACATGGACAAAAGTAATCGGATTAAAAGGTCGTTCGGAATAAAAATGCATCATGTAAACAGCCCTTTCGGATTATTCTGATCCGATTGAGCTCGATCCGAATGAATTTTTAATCCGAATGAGTCGGMTGGGTTATGCCGATTGATAATGGGAATGACGTTCATGTAAACACTTAATTGGATCATCTTATTCTGATTGTAGAAAACTGACCTGTGTGCATGTCTGCTGACTTTCATTCACCCAGTTCTGCTCTTAGAGGAGGTGGGACAGCAGCGCAGCTGTGTTGCACCYCGCAGAACTTTTCCTCCTCGCTCTCTCAACAGATAAAAAAGGAAACAAACAGCAGACGTTGCTTCGCAAAAAATAAAAAGCACTTATTGCTTCATCTGCAGCTCAACCGAGGAGTAACGACGTCTCTACCGTTATTAAAAGCTGACACGGGTCTGTCCTGAGCGCACAGAGGAGTGTTGTTTACGTTTGTAACACCAAAGTAGAGCTGAAAATTTACAACACTGCGCATAAACACTTTTCATGATCGGATTGTGTCCATGTAAACAGTACATTCGAATTATTTAATCCGAATACATTTCAATCAGATCAAAAAATTTTGTGCATGTAAACATAGCTAGTGAGAGCAGGTTTGGTTGAAGCAGTGGCTCGACTCAGAGGCTGCAGCGGTCAGTCCTGACATCTCCTCCTGCACTTTGCTCCTGAACTACCAGAGACTTTGGTCTGTAAAACCTAACTTTATATTAAATATATGTTCAGAGTGTTGTTATCAAACAGATCTGTCCAACTCTGTGTGAGTGACTGAACTCTCCTCCTGAGAGACTGCTGTATGAGCGCGTCGCTGCACGTGCAGGCTGAGTCTTTCTGTGAGATTCACTGTTTGAGTTCTTCTAATTAAACCACATTAACTCTAACATAACATTTATTTGCCCCATATTAAAGCAAAGATGATTCTCTGTTTAACATCACCCCCATCAAAAAAAATTTTTAAATTAAAAACATAAAAACAACTTGCCATGTTCTCTAGGTGAATGAGTTTTAAATGTTATTTTAATTTATCATAAATATCCCCAAATTTCATTCACAATTTTATAAAAAAAAACAGGGTTCTTGATTTGCTAAACTTGTTTATATTTAGGACCATACTACAGGAGTTGTACATCTAAAGGACATGTGTAGTCTATAAGAAATTTAACCATGAAATGTTCAGTTTGTGATGTTTATATGACATACACCCAGCCCCTCGGCCACTTAGGTAGTTTACAAAATTTATGCAGAGTAAAAAAAATTAAATAAAAAACTTGGTGGACTGATTTGGCATGATGTCCTGAGACATTGCAGCTGATAGGAGTCATAAAACAGAACAGGGGGACGTTAGATGCCCTGACGCCCATCTAGATAAATGTGTTAAATGAGTGAAGGAAAATATGAGCACCAAGGAACAACCGTAGGTTGTCCCCTGAGAAGCAGACCAAAAATTTTATGTGCAACCCTGATAATAATCAATTGTTTAATTAATCCATCCCGTGTTTTATGAGATATTTTTCTAACAAACAGAAACACACATTTGACATAAGATGTCAGTCCTKTTTGGATGAGTCTGACTTTCCACAAAAGTTCTGATCCGAACACACGTCCTTGCAGATTGCTTCTGTTCTGTAATAGTATTAAGGAAACATTAATTACATTATAAAACAATTTCTTTATAAAGACTACATGACTTGTTTGTATGGAGAGCTTTAAACAGCACCCTTTGCCTTTCGTTCAGACGACGATGACGAGGGAGCAGACATGGATACAAACAACTCCTCAGGACTGCTGATGTCTGAGAACGAAGATGACGGGCAGTTGTCGAAAAAAGACGTAAGCGCTCACGATCCACTCTAATATAGTTTAGTTTTTCTTCTCAGTTTTCATCTCAGTTGCTGTTATTGGACAAATATTTGTTAAAAGTCCCGTTTTAATTTTATAAATTACTCCTCTCTTTAAGAAAAACCGTCGACGCAGAAACCGCAAGAAGAAGAGCAAGAAGAAGCGAGCGCAGGAGAAGAAGGAGCAGGCTGAGCAGCAACAACAACAACAGCAGCAGCAGCAGCAGAAGAAGAAGGACGGTGGTGAAAAGGAAAAGGAGAAAGACAAAGATAAAGATAAAGACAAAGGGAAGGATCCTGAGGTGGAGATCGAGTACGTCACAGAGGAACCGGAGATTTACGACCCCAACTTCATCTTTTTCAAGAGGATTTTTGAAGCTTTTAAGGTGAATTCATCAGTTTTTAATTTCTGCTGCAAGCAGATCTTTGTGTTTTTTATCTTCTAGTGACGTCACTCTTTGCTTCCTGTTTTCTAGTTGACTGATGATGTGAAGAAAGAGAAGGACAAAGAGCCAGAGAAGGCCGAGAAGCAGGAGATGCTAGGTGTCCTGCGGAAAAAGGGATTTGAATTGGAGCGAAAAGACAGCGATGATAGTGATGAGGTACAAACCTTTTTACTTGTTATTAAAAAATAAATCCTGGTTTTTTATTTGTTTTTGTTTGTTAAACATCTAAAGTGTTTTTTTTTTTTTTTTTTTTTTTTTTTTTTTTTTTTCATACAGGAAGTCAAACAAGATGCACCGAAACTGTCTAAGAAGAAGCTGAGGAGGATGAACAGGCTGACTGTGGCTGAACTCAAGCAGGTAACAACCCCCCGCACGCACAAATGCACCAGAACTCAGAAGACTTTATTCCTAATAAATGTCATGGTACCAGGTGCATCCCAAAACTGTAGTGG